AATCCCCGACCCCAAGTTCCCCCATCCCTGCCACCGCCAAAACCTGATGCCACCGGCCACAGCCGGCCGCCATAGAGGAAATGATGCCGCCGATCGATGAGATCGTCTTGCAAAAAAATCAGATCTTTCAAGGACGGCAAGCTCCATGGAAGCTGGTGACGAGATTTGGCGATCAATAAGAAAGGAGAAGGAGAAGATAGAGGTGGAAGTCGGCGTTGGAGATTGATGGCCATCGATGTGCTCTCCGAACTCCAGATACGTTCGCGATTTGCTCTCCAGAGACGTTCGCGGTGTGCAAAGATAGAAGGCGCAGAGAGTCCAGATCGATGTTGCGCTCGGTGCAAAGACGATGGGCTAAGCTGTTTATCTAGGTCACTTTTTTGTCCAAAGGAAAAATGGTCATAATTTTGTCTAGTCAAAGTCCATAGGTCATATTTTTGTCATTCTTTCTTAAAAAAAAGGATGAGACTTCATTAATGAGGGCCACCCAAAATTGACTGGATAGTTATCTGGGAGGATGTAAATAAGCTTTGATCTCATGTTGATGGAAAGAGAGTGAGATTTCATTTCAAATCATTGCTTGAAGTTGAACTTGAGACCTCCCCTTTGTGGCACCACTTCGTATCAAGTGAGCTACGTCCCCCTGTTATACTCGTCACATTAATTGTATATGATGTGTTTCATATGTAACTTACTTCTATTTTATCGATATTCTATTTGTTTATACTATTATGTTGAATAGAACATATTTAAATAAAATGACTACATAATCATCTAAGGCCTCATAATTACTCTAGACGACCTTGATTCAACTAAATCAAGTGACTTGGTATAAACTAGTCTAGTTGGGACCGGACCGGGCCCAGCTGATAGTGGGATGGTCTTGTTCTAAATGGTCAATTAGTTTCTATTTTTTTAAATTAGGAAGGTGTGATGAAATAGAAGGAAATAAATAGAAGATTAGAAAGGGGAGAATATATTAAGGCTATGTTTGTGTTTGGTTCAACTTAAAAAAAGAGATTTTTTTAAAGTGAATTTAGAGAAAGTATTTTTTATTAAAAGTTGAATGTTTTATAAGTGAAGGGATTAAAGTTGGAGTGTTTGGATAAAAAAAAATGATTTTTATGTAATATTTTATTGATGGACAAAAAAGGCCTTATATCCATCAAACTCACTCCTCCGTCCAATGGAAACGGAGTGATAATCTGGTGGCGAGGGTGAAGCTCAACTGGTGCAGAGTTGTAATCTGGGAGTAACAATTTATGCTTCCTGCGGAAAGAATGGAAGAGCTGGGCATTTGTGCTGGTAAAACCAGGCCACTTCGTGGAGCATGTATGGATATGGTACCGGCAAGAGAGAGACGGAGAAGACGACCGATGGGGTTTGGGGACGGATAAAACTCTCCTGCATACCTCAAAAGTGATTTGTAAAATCAAAAGCAAACATAGCCTAAGGGATCACTTGCGATTGCTTGTGCTTTTTTACGGAAAAATGATTTATAGTAAAAATAGGTAGTGTTTAAGAACAGAAGTGATTTTAATTAAAATGTTGGAATGCTCGATAAAAAAGTGTTTGTGATTTAATATTTTTTTGAAAAGTACAAAAATATCATCATACCCATCTCTACGCCGGAAGAGCTCCTGACCAGCTTTGCCTTCCACTCTGGCAACTTTTAGCTATGAAACAATAGTCCTATATGTATATGTGTATATAAAATGGCAATATCATTAATTAATTAACATCAACAAAAACCATATAAGCCGACAAGTCAATCCATCAGAATAGCACCGAACCTACCCGCCAAATGGAATCCGCAGTTCTAAAGAATTATCAATTACCCGAACCATGCCCACCCCTACATTCAATGGTGGTGGCCGGAATGTTACTCCCTCCATGTCCTCAATAATATGATCGACGCAGAGTCGGCAGAGTATGGGAGGTAGCAGGTAGAGACAAAGGGTATTTTGGGTTTAAGCTGGCATTATAACCATCCTTAAAGTGTTTAATTTAAGCAGAAGTTGTCAATTGAAAACATCAATTTCAACTTTTTTAACCAAAAAGCTAAGAACTGCTTTTTTAAGCAATGGCAAACACTGCTTAAGAGAGTTGATATTAATGGTGTGTTATAAATAAGGAAAAAGCCTTTATTTATAGGTTAAGCAAATGACTAACTCGAGGGATTTAATATTAGCCACATAATCCCTATCTAGAAATCATAATTGTGGTTTCTAAATGATCTTGATGATAATAGTAATGAGTTATTAATCATGAATATGACTGAATCATTATATTTCCACATTCTGCTTGAATAGTCATCTTCAAATTATTCATGGGTATTAGTTTCCTAGTTAAAAACCTTATTATGCTTTTCACAATGGGATGAAAATCATAGTTAAGGGAAAAAGAGTACAACATATGATCTCATGGTATTATGATGTACTGTTTGGTTAAAAATCTTGCCAGGAAAAAATTAATGGGATAAAAACTTGAACGAAGGGAAAAAGAGAGCAGTGCATATTATACCCACTCAATTTAACATATATCTCAAAGACGATGCATTTAAATTTTGTGGACAAGTTCTTCAAATTTCTTCGGGACAATGATTTTGTGAATAGACCACCATGGTTGTCGCATGACTTGGTTTGTTTGACATCAACCACTCTTTCTTTCACAAGATCATGTGTGTAGAAAATTTTGGTACTATATGTTTTGTTCTATCCCCTTTGATGTAACTTCCTTTGATCTGAGCTATATATGTCGTGTTGTCTTCATAAATCACAGTAGGACCACATGTACAAGATTTTATACCACATTCATTTTGTGTGTGCTGGATCATTGATGTCAACTAGACACACTCTCGACTTGCTTCATAAAGAGCAATTAATTATGCATTATTTGATTATGTGGCAATTAATGTTTGGTTCATTATCTCCATGAGATAGCGGTATCACCATAAGTAAATAAATGTTATGTTTGCAATTTTGCCTTTCGTGGATCAAAAAGTATCATGCATCGGCTTAGCCGATTAATGTGACATTTGTAACATTCTTGTAATACAATCCAAGATCGATTCTATCATTGGAATAACTGGATATATGTTTGACATCTTTCCAATGTCTTCTAGTTGGGGGAAGAATTATACCTGGCTAATAAATTTACAGAAAAAACAATATTTGGTCGCGTATTATTAGCCAAATACATTAGTACTCCAATAGCATCAAATATGATATTTAGGGATCAGGATTTATTCATCATCTTCACAAGGCCGGAAAGGATCATCATGCAAATTGAGAGATCGAAACACCATTGGAGAATTGAGTGGGTGTGCTTTATCTATGAAAACCGCTTCAAGAGTTTCTCGGTATAATATGATTGGATAATAATACCACTTCTCAAGTGTTAAATTTGAACGTCGAGACAACATTTTATTCTCCCAAGGTCTTTCATTTCAAATTCTTTCATGAGATATGTTGCAGCATTTTCTATTTCATTGGATGTTCCAATAATGCTTAAATCATAAACATATATTGCAATTATGATGAATCCTGATTTGGACCGCCAAATGAAAACACATACGTCCAGATTGTTTCAATCCATATAATGACTTTTGCAATTTTATGGAAAATGAGTCTCGAGATTTCGAGCTATAAGCATCAGGTAGTTCCAACCCTTCACGAATTTTCATATATATGTCTATATCAAATGAGCCGCATAAATGCGTTGTCACTGCATTCCTCAGGCGCATTTACAGCCTTTCAAAAACAGACATGTCAATTAAAATGTTGAAGTATAAAAGTAGTAGCATCAAATATTGGAGAATACATGTCATTGTAATCGATTCCTGGCATTTGGGGAAAATCTTAGACAATAAATCGGACTTTATATCTATTGATTTTATTTTTCTCACTCAAAAACCCATTTAAAATCCACAGGCTTTATGTCTTCTGGCGTATGTACCATTGGTCCAAAAGCATTTCGCTTTTCTAGTCATTTTAATTCTACCCGAATTGATTCATTCCATTTCGGTCAATCATTTCTATGACGACATTCATCAATAGATTTAGGCTCATTGCCAGCGTGTTCGTTCAATATATTTGTGGCAATGACGTATGAAAATATATCATTATATATTTTCAATTTCAGTGTATTCCATTAGAAACATAATTAATTGAGGTTGTGAAATTATTGACGTTTCTATCTTTATCTTGAATATTTACCTCTTCAAAGGTGTTTAAATTCTATATCAAAATTATTGACATTTCTATCTTTATCTATGCATTTAAACTAAAATCATAAAAGGACAATGACTTACGGTTTTGATATACCTTTTCGTATTCTCAGAAAATGAGAAATTGAGAATAAGATGAAGGATTATGCTCATATTACATCCCTGATGATATGAAAATCATCTTCCCTACATTTTTATGTTATCATCATAATATAGAGAAGTGCATTGAACGAAGTTGAAGATTATGAATGAAATCTAATCTAATAATATACATTTAGAAGCGTATGCCTTGTTTTAAATAAATTATAAGACGAGCCAAAAATGTAAATGCCATTTTAGGGGGTCCTAGTTTACTCTAAATTGTTAAAATCAAACAATTTAACTCCTCCGTTAAAAACCAATGCGGCATAGAGCAGAAGTATCATTTCTCATAACAGCAAGCGGGGGAGGGAATGGGGCAACAAGTACACTACATTTCTCAATAACAAAGGCCCCACGTCCCACTTCACCCACATGGCTTAATAAACTTAAACCATAATCTGGAAAAAATAATGCAAGGTAACATTTATTTGGACCCTTACTCTCATCATAACTTTCCATAATAAGAAAATTTATTAGCAAAAATAATGAATTTGTGACTCGCACAAAATCCAGTTAGCTAGTAGCGGCAACAAAAGCATAGAACAAGATTAGAGACTAACACTAAGAAATAATAGTTTTTTTAAAGCTTCACCTCTTTGCTTGTTGATGAGATCGAGTAAACAAAACATAATTAACCATTGGTTTAAAAATCATTTCAAATTAATCAAATCACCAACTATAATTCCCAGATTATGGGTCTTCAATCAAAGTTCACGAGAAAAGATGTTCTATTCTCCTGCTCAAACTAGATATGGTGCAACCAAAGAACTTTTAAATCAATAAACTCTTGTGCCTTTCCAAAAATGGAAATTGATCAAACTAAAAAATAAAGTATGTGTGTATCTTAGTAATCGAAATATAGCAACTAAGATTTCAACACAAAGGCTACTATATATCCAACATTAGAAATTGAAACTTGAAAGAAATGAATTAGATGATACCACTGGCTAATTTTTTGAGGCATCTGATATGAGATGCATTGTATGTTCAATGCTTTGACCCCCCATCATAATATATGTCATCATCATATCTTCTTCTTCCTGTAGAGCGTGAATCATCACATCTTCCTCTCTTTGAAGAACTATAATCTCTATCCCTCTCACGGCGTCTGACATCGATCTCCTCTCCATGCTCCTTCCCAAGCCTTCCATGGTCTGCAACACTTTCATGCTTCTGTTTCACATCATCATCAGCATCATCTATTTTGTGTTTCCTTGCTTGTCTCTTAAGTGCGTCCTTTGGTTTCTCCTGAAGTTCAACCTGTTTCTTTCTATTTTCATACCCGATCTTAAGTGCGTCCTTTAATTTCTCCATTTGTATTTCCTTCCGAGCAGCAATTTGATGGGTTTGTGTTTCAGAGACCCTGAAACATCACATCCACCACAAACTAGGTTAGCTCACATGCAAACTTATGACCTATTCTCTTGTTCCAAAACAGACAAACTTGCAACACATAATATTACAAAAAAAATAGTCTAATTTAGTTTGATTTAAAAGTAAAAAGTTCTTAGTTCCATATTATCTATTTGAGCAGGAGACTAGAACATACTTTCTTCTAAACTTTGATGAAGACGTGTAATCTAAGTAATGAAAGTTGGTATTGATTCATTAGACATTTATCTATATATAAAAAGGTGGAAATCAGTTTATTTCTCCAGCTCAAAAATGTCACAATCGTGTATAAATAATCGGTCCAACCCAAATTGGTAAGGCTCTTCGGGTTTGGTTGGCTGTCACTGTTGGTGTATTGTACCGCCCTGTTATTTCTGCTCATCTATTTTGTTGAAATGCATTGGGTAACACACTAAATTACCCGTTGCGTGTTGAAGCTGTTATAACCAAAGGTTAAAGAAGTGAACTACTACTACTAAGAGAAAGGTCATGAGAAAGGTCTTGATCCATTGCCCCATCTTCATAATTCATTTTTCCTTTTTACTTGTCTGGTCCGAATTTCCATCATTTGCAATGGAGCCAAAGATTCACTATTCTTTGGCTTGGGAATATGATGGAATACAACAAAATGACTCACTAAAATGTCTGCGTTTCTTTGTTATGAAGCAGCAGTCAGTCCATGCAATTTTCGTCACGATTTTCACTTTGGGTCATCCGGAAACAGTCTCTCTGTGCTTTAGTACAGGGGTAAGGCTGCGTACATCCGACCCCCCCTTACCCCACCATCGGTGGGAGCCTTTGCAGCACTGGGGTAATGATGATGAATGATGACCTGTCTGGTCCGATCTGTGTCGTACAAAGGGCATCAGAAAGATTTTATCTTCTGATACAAACAACAAGTGCGCAGCTTGAGGGTTTCTCGGCCGTATTTTTTCTTGTGCAGAATATGCCTGGCGGTCTGGTTGCTTCTGCGCGAGGGTGCGGGGCTGCGAACAGGGCAAGGGCAATCAACGGTCTTGCAGCGGGTGAGGAGCAGAGTGGTTCGGGGAGCCAGAATGAAGAGCAAGGCAGGGGTAGGGAGGTGCGGTCGTCTCTAGGGACTAATCTGATTGCTTATAAATATATAAGTTTTTGAACTAATCTGATTGCTTATAAATATATATGTTTTTATTTCCAGAGATCAGGTTGAATTGAAGAAGAAATAGGACTACAACTTAAGAATGTTAAAGGCTGAATGAGTTTTGGTGAGAAGAAGACCAAGAATGCAGATCATAGGCAAACAATTGAAATCACATTTGCAAGGAGTAGTCATATTCTTCCTTCTGGTTCTTTTGATTTCCTTCACATCTTCTAATTCTACCTCCAATTTCATGATTCTTCTTCCATTAGCCGTGTTAGTAAAATGATTTATTCGACTTAGGCATATTTTGTTTTGGAAATTTGACAATGAACTGTTGTCAATATTTTGATCGCAAGGCTTTGTTAGAAATCCTCAATCAAAAATGTCTTGCTAAATTGATGCCAAATAACAATTCAGTAAACTGAGGTTATAAACAGAGGTAAACAAATCTTATTCAATATTTTTTAAAGTTTGATTTCAATTCATAGGTCTTCCACATCCAAGAATTCCATAAAATGAGGCTATACAGCCAATGTCTAACATGGATACACATCCGAGAAACTCATGTTAATTACAGGTTATTTCTTTTCCACCTATATGTCATTTTTATTAATAAGGTAATTAAGGTTCTTTGTTTTATCAATTTATTAAGCTAACTTTCAGTTTTCATATACATTCTTATAATTTGTGACTAATACATCCATCAGGAGCCTGCTACAATGGTGAAAAGCTTCACCATTTTTGAAGGTTTGATTCCAATGATCACGTTGTCCAAGAAACAACCTATGAGATCATGTTAATATATAAATAAGAACTAAAAACAAACTTGAACAAATATCTGAAATACTGAAATAGTTTTGTTTTCTTTGGGTGTTTCTTTGATTCTCTTCACCACTTCTCTTTATATTTTAATCACCAAACATTACCAGGGATCCAAGCATATACCCTATTAGAGATTATGGAAATTATTGAGACAGAGAAAGTTGTCAGAAAAAACTTCCTTGGAGTTCCTTTTCTGAAATAAGATTTTGGAGAGTAAGCTATTAGACTGACTTTTATAGGCTAATGAGCTTATGTTTTCTAATTCTTTTTGAAAAGCAATTGAAGCATTGATCAAATCTGAACAAATCTATATTTATTGATAATTAATAATTTGATAAACAATTTTTTGAGTGATTCCTAGGAGTCTTGACAAGGTTCATCTTTATTGATTTCTATAATGTTCAATTCATCTCCCAACCATGCCTGTAACATGTTACACGCGCTTAACCATATTGTGATTTTTATCTGCAGGTTCAAGCAATTGGCTTACAAGTATTGAAAGGAATGCTAAATGAGGGTCCACTGCAGAATCAAACTCTACAACAATATACTTTGTTAGGGAACTTATGGAAGATATTATTATAGTAGTCCTGAAAAGTTTAAAGGTAGTTTTTACCAGCAAGAGTGCATGACTTTCACTTGGGCATTCATAATGTAAAGGGTGATATTTGTCATTTTTTTGCAGAAACTGAGTAATTGGATGGGAGGTGGTAACTACTTTTGGTCAAAAGATATTGACACACAAAAAGGTCTTATGAACCTGCTCTTGGAAACTATGCTCTTGATTTTTACATCAGATGATCATTCGAGGTATCACATAATCACTTAGTATTATACTACCTCCGTCCCTTAAACTTTGTAAAAACTGGCACGGAGAATAATAAAGTAAAAACTGTGTGGTTGAGACTTGTGCAGAGGAGAGATAAAAAACAGAAACCACAAAACAATTGATTAAAAAGGAAAGTGGCAAAGTTTTTTGGGATGTCCCAAAAAGGAAAGATGACAAAGTTTTAAGGGACGGAGGGAGTATGTATCATCTGACTTTTTTAGCTGTGCATCTATGCTTATAATTGTCTACATAAATTGCAGGTACCAAGTGAGATGAGAATCATGTCTATAAAACTGGTCTCACAACTTGCCTAAACTTCTTCCTCGTCTGTCTAATTCAATGATGTATTACTGACAATGCCTACAATACAAAGACAACAACTTCAAGTGACTATCTTTCCCTTTTTGTTTTGTATGACTAACAATGCCTATACACTATGTATGAACAATGATTTTGTTTTTTAGAGTTCACACTGAATGTAATGGTTATGGGTTCATGCCTTATATGAGTAAGTCTCTTGGTAATTTTCATCATTCGTTCTCTCAACTCGAGAATCTGGTAGCAAAGATGAGAATACATGCTCTAACATTAAACCATAGTCACATGGATCACGATACACACCGGTACGCGGTACGAAAACGAGAACGTGGTTCGTTAATATAAAAAATCCGATACGCGGGGGGTAGGCTTCTTCGGTACGCGGTACGGTGTACCATAAACATATAATACCTACAATTTACTGTGTATTAAGTACAAACTATAAATGTAATAAATATAATATAATACTAGTACTAAACAATTAACTTGAGTAAAACATTAAACAAAAGTCTGAAATACTTAAACAAATAAAGTAACTATAATTAAAAAAAGTAATTAAAATATTAAGAACGAAGTCTAAGGTTCTGAACCGTGGAATTGAGTACGAAAGTCTTGAACAATTAAACTGTCTCTTTGGAGTCTGGAAGGAAGTATGAAAGTCAAGGGTTAGGATAGAGTCGTTTAGACTTTAGAAGTCGCGTCGCTTGGACTGCTGGATCGTCGTCCGCCAAGGGAAACTTGCGAACGACAAACGGGATACGGCGAACTACCTGCAAGTGAAGCGCAAACTGCGACCGAAATCCGCCGTACCTGAGTCGCGACCCAGCAGCGACCGGCGCGCAACTGTACCGCGATCCGGTACGCGCGATCCGGAATGCAAAACGTGCGTACCTCAGCGATTTCTGTATCTACGCATTAAACACCAAGAGGCCATGCTTTCTATAAGTCATCTTGCAGTGGTTCGAGTTGTATATTAATGTATGGCATAAACTTATGTAAATAGGTAAGTCTAAAGAATTAGTTTTTAAAAGGCAGCTGTTACGGATGCATTTTATGGATCTAGCAGGAGATTTAATTAGAACAGTTTAATTAGAAGAGGGAAATTATCCTGATGCTATTTTTATATTTTATTTATTACTTCCTATTAGGAATAGAAGTATTAGAGGTTACAATTTCCATTAGATTAGAAGTCCTATTAGTAATAGAAGTATTTAGAGGTTACAGTTTTAGTTAGACTAGAACTCTATCATGTAAAGGAAGGATGCCTATTTATATTCCGTTTTCAGCCTTAATAAAATATCGATCATTAGAAGAATTAATCCCCAGAGAGAAGTCACGGACTTCCCCCTTCCCCCTGCGCTCTTACTGCGCTCTTCCAGCCACGGGCAAGAAGAGGAGTAACCCTAGCAGGCAGGTTATCACCTCAACCGGGTACCCTGCTACCCCAAGACGTCCCTGGACTCGTTCTCAGTCACAGAACCCTAACAGCAGCTTCATCTACATTCATGTTGATTATTCCGCCGCCTAACACAGAGTCAGTTTTAAAAAGGAAGTTTTAAAAAATTATAGCTTTTGTATAATAAAAATGAAATGATGAACCAATTTCTATTTTTTGAAATAAGTTTTGCAGAACAAGTTATTAAACTGATTTTTATAAGCTAATGTATTCTAATTCTTTTATAAAAACAATTGAAGCCTTGATCAAATCTAAACAAATTTCTGAAACAGATTCCTTTTTCTGATTTTCTTCATTACTTCCCTGTATAATTTTATTCTCCTAACAAATTTGAACAAATATCTAAAATAGATTTTGAGATAAAGTGGTCGAGGCTCGAGGGGAATCTCCAACAAACTTTTGTACATAAAATGTTGGAGGAAGATGTATGGTCCATTGATAATGACACACATGTGGATGATGTGTGGTTATCAATGGAGTTCACCATTAACAAAGTGGCAAAAGAGATACTTGGAGAATCTAAAGCATGTCTACCACCAAAAAAGGACACATCTTGGTGGAATGATGAGGTGAAACAAACAATAAAGATCAAAAGGGAATGCTATAAGAAATTGGGCAAGAGTTGGAGTGACGAGAAACATAGAGCAGTACAAGGAGGCTACAAGAAGAGCAGAGAAGGCTGTAAAGGAAGCAAGAGGAAAAGTGAACAAGAAATTGTATGCAAAATTGGACTCTAAGGAAGGAGAAAAAGATATTTACAGACTTGCTCATCTTCCTCATCTTCCTGACCGTAGGACGGGGAAATAAAGGAGAGGTGGAGGTCATACTTTGATACCTTGTTCAATGGGAATAAAGTGCAAGGTATTTATGACCTTACTATACCAGAGTGTGGTAAATCGGGACTTCGTGAGAAGAATCCAAATAACAGAAGTTAAAGAGGCTATGAGAAAGATGGGGCGGAAGAAAGCAGTAGGCCCAGATGACATATCGATCGAGGCTCGGAGAAGTTTGGGAGAGAAAGGCATTGAGTGACTAACACGTTTCTTCAACATGATTTGGAGAAACAACAAAAAGTCAATGAGTTGGCGGAAGAGTACTCTCATTCCCCTATTTAAAAATACAGGTGATGTACAAGAATGTGCCAACTATGGAGGGATTAAGCTTATGAGTCACACCATAAAACTTTGGGAGCGAGTGGTTGAGTAAAGACTTCGAAAAAGTGTGAAAATTTCGGAAAATCAGTTTGGTTTTATGTCTGGACGCTCAACAACTGAAGTCATTCACCTTCTTAGACAAGTTGTGGAGAAGTATAGAGATAGATACTAAAAAGGATCTGCATTTGGTGTTCATTGGCTTAGAAAAGGCATATGATAGGGTACCTCGAGAAGTCCTTTGGTGGGCCTTAACTAGAAAAGTCATATCACATAAGTATATCAATATCGTCATGGATATGTATTAGGCTTGTACTACGAGTGTTCGTACTAGTGTGGGGAGGACCGCAGAGTTCCCTATTACTATCGGAGTGCACCAAGGATCAGCTTTAAGTCCTTTCCTATTTGCTATAGTCATGGATGAACTTACGAAGTCAATTCAAGAAGATATAATGTGGTGCATGATGTTTGCCGACGATATTGTATTGATTGATGAGACACAATCGGGTGTTAAAGCAAAGTTGGAAGTATGGTGACAAACATTGGAGACCAAAGGTTTCAAACTGAGCCGAAGCAAGACCGAATATATGGAGTGCAAGTTTGGTGGAGGTAGAAGTAGTAGCAACAGTTAGATTACTCTTGATGGTAAAGAGATACTAGTGTGTGATATGTTTCGTTACTTAGGCTCCATAATTCAGAAGGATGGTGGATTAGATGGAGATGTATCCCATAGAATCAGAGCTGGGTGGATGAAATGGAAGAGTGCATCAGGATTTCTATGCGATCGAGGTATGCCGACTAGGAAAATTTTATCGAACAACAATTAGGCCTGCATTAATGTATGGTGTAGAGTATTGGGCGGTGAAACAATGTCACATTCAAAAGATGAGTGTGGCAGATATGTGTATGTTGTGTTGGATGTGTGGACATACCAGAAAAGACCGCTTAAGGAATGAGATAATCAGACAAAAGGTAGGAGTAACACCTATAGAATATAAGATGCAGGAGCCTCGTTTGCAATGGTTTTGGGATTAAGGCTTGAATGTTGTTGTTGTATCTAAAATAGACTTTTTAGTTTAATCTTTTCTTGATCTGACAAAAGAATCATCCCATATCAATTTTTACACGAATTGGCCTGGGTTTGCCCCTCTACCTATGCTCCAGGTAGTTACGAGTATACATTTCAAGTTCACTGCAGTTCTTGGTTAAGTTTTGTTTTAAAGTTAAGTTTAGTTTTAACAGGTTGATTGGGGTCAATAGAAAATTAGAACCAAGTTATGTTTAGTTTGAATTTGTTATTTATTAAAACATTATTGGGTTCTTGGTTTTGCTTTATTCGGTTCAAATGTGTTGATCTTGATTTTTCACCAAAACAAAAGGCGGTTCATGAACCTTAAATGAAGGTTTGAAGGGTAAGGCGAAAAGTTGGGCAAATGTATAACTGTACGATATTAGTCCAATCCAATCAATTGTATGTTCTTTACCCTATCATTTTTTTTCATTCTCCACATTTTCCCCAATTAAATGTATAACTCTATTACCCTTAACCTATTGTACACACAATTGTTTCCTCTTTGTGATTTTACTTGCTTACTTCAAATTCCTCCTTTGTTTCTAATGTTTGCAAGTTTGAAACACTTTTCTAATTTATTACGTTGGATTTCCGGTAACATTTGTGCCTTAATCACTTTTGAAGCCACATTGATACCCTTTCTCGTTAAACCACCATGCACCCAAGTTAAATAGTGTAAAACAATCAATAAGCTAAAACACCTAAGAATGAAAAGTTACACTAAATATAACATGCTATAAATTGTAGGGTGAGATCGGATCATTTTGGTCTAGGATGGGTTGGATGGGGTTTAACTTGAACGCTACAAAATGATTACTAACAGTTTGAGCTACGAAAAATTCAGATCAGAAGAAGGCCAGATAACTTACCTGGCTGGTTAAAAGTTGGGTCATTTAATACCTGGTAAGCCCATATTATGCTAGAAACACACATTAATATCCGAAAATAATATTTTTATTTTTTGATTTCAATAGCTTTGTGTTTCAGTTTCCATATTGAAAAGTTTGTCTTGCTTTGAGTTTTTCATCGCTCAGACTATTTGGTTCCGTTGCAAGTCTTTTTTATCAATAGAAAGATCATATTGAGCTCTAAAAATAATAGAGTTTTCATATGCGCCGAAGTCGGAACTTCAAAAATAATGCAAAGAATGTAATTTACAAGGTGTTCAACAATTTCAGTACTTACTAAACTTCTAAAAAAATTGTTTTTTATAGTTATTTATGATTTTACTCATTTGTGTGATGGCTTATATTTTAATTACATATACAGATTCATAAATATATACATATGTTTAATTTACAATATTTATAAAATACAACCCGTGCAACGCACGGGTGAGATACTAGTGTTATTTAAACCAAAAACTAATTATGTCCTACTTACTCCCACTCCCATCACAAGAAAAGAAGTGAAAATGTAAAAGTACTATTTCTAAGTTTTAGCCCACAAAAATCTCAGCTCAGAAGAACATGTCTTTACAAAATAGTGTGCTGACAAAAATACATAAAATCCCCCCTGTAGTTCAGCAAGTTACATTTTCAAAACAGCCTATTCCATGATAACTTTTCGAAAATTCAGATCATTACAAACACTTGCTATCAAGTGGGATAAACTGCATCTTCTTCCACGTAACTCCAATCAGTTAGGTTTTCTCAGTTTTCCATGTTAACTGTTCTAAATATCAAATGAAGTGGTTCAATCTGTCCCACATATGTGAGTTTGAAACATTCAATTCAAAAGTTAACAAAAAGTGAAACAGAATCCTGAAGGTTGGAAAACAGGAAAGCGTAGTTACATAAACTTATGAGACTTAAGAGCCACTTGTAGCCATGGAAGTTCAATGTTTCAATCTAAAAGACAGGAGAGTTTCGTGGATAATTTAAAAAGGCCGAGAAAATTAGTATTTTTGCCGCGTAAATGATCACTAATTTTTTCAGAAAACAAAATCATTGGAATTATAGGACTACTTGTGCTGAAATTTAATTCGGGAACAGGCACAAACTGCCTCTAAATTGTATAGCCAGACACCAGGTACGTCCATTTTATTACTAAATGAGTTCCAGAATTCTTTGTATGGATTCAATTAGAAAAAGGCACATTTATTTTTTGTTGTATGCAAGTCATGACTGTTCAAATTAGTATCCACGCTGAGTAGTAGCTCCAGCAAGGGTTTCACTCCTCAAAAAGCATCAAATCTATTTCTCAAATGGTATCACGGACCAGCATTATTGAAGTGAATGAAACATAAGTAAGAATAATATTGTTACTTGTCAGAGGAACCAGCAGCAGCTTCAGACTCAGCGTCAAACACCTCTAAAGTTTGTCGAGTCTGCTCCAATCTTTCAGCGATCTCAGCCTCCGTGTAGCCCTGCTCGGAGAGCGTCTCCTCCAGGACGATGAGCTTAAGCTGGATCTGACGTTTGCGGTCGTGCTCCAGGATCTCTTTGTTAGGTTTGCGGGTCAGGCCGGCGGTTCCCTGATTCTCCCCAAATCCTTTACCTCCGGCATCCACGACAACCTTATTGGTCTTCGGTCTCACGAAAAATTTATTGGTTTGGACGTAACCGTTGGTCCCGGAGCCCCGAGCTGTCTGTAACCCGATTCCGTTGTACATCTCCGCCGGAACTTTGGTACCGTAAGCCCAAAAATCAATTACGAAACCGATGGCGCAGTTCAGAGCACCTCCAATTGCAGCGCCGCAAAGATCCGAGTGGCCGAACCTAACGGGGACAAATGGATTTAGATCGGACGGATTTGTGCTGGGCGCACCTCACTTTCTTCAAAACTCTCTTCCCTTTACTTTTTGAGAAAATTCTCCTGTTAGGAGTAAGAAGCTGTTCTCTTCCTTTAATCTTACTCTGTATTACTTATTCCTTATTTTTATTTTATTCAGATCAGATCAGATCAGATCAGAAACATTCAGATCAGATCAGAAACATTCAGATCAGATCAGAAGCATTCAGATCAGATCAGAAGCATTCAGATCAGATCAGAAGCATTCAGATCAGATCAGATTAGTTCAAAAATATTCATACCAAATTGGAAGCATTATATTATTATCTATTATATATTTTACTATTACTATTACTATTGTTACTATTATTATTGTTATTTTTTATAATAATAATTATTATTATTATAATTACTATTATTATTACTATTATATAATATTATATATTACTGTTATGTTCTACGGAGTAATTTTTAGTAGGGAAAATGGAAACTAATAATCAAACCTTTTAGCGGTCTTCTTACAATAGTCCCACATTTTGATTATTCATGAATAATCCAACATTTGCACCCCATCTTCATTCACGGGTCCCTGGTCGATTTATGACCAGTTATTCCAAGTTATTTTCTTATCTTTGCAAAACATTATGTGATCATAAGGTGGGAATTATGGTATATTGTTTTACAAAAATAAGAAAATAACTTGGAATAACATGTCATAAATCGGTCAGGGAATAGTGAATGAAGATGGGGTGCAAAGGTTGGATTATTCATTAATAATCAAAAGGTGAGACTATTGTAAAAAGACCGCTAAAATTTGGATTATGTGCAAGAATATATTGCTTCGTTTATTGTCAAATATTTATATTTGATGGAGTATATGGCCCGGGAACCCCCGGCCCACAGACTCCTACTACTCCAGCGAAGGCCCAACAGGCCCAACAGGCCCAAATCACATCGCCCAGAGTACCAAGCAGTCCGCACAACGCGCCAGGGGTGCCTTCGGGTGGAAGAGCCCTCGGCTACTGCTCTATAGCCGAAGGCATCTCACTCGACAAGATATCCGCCTCACATGCGTACAGATCACCGTACCCCGCACAGACGTCCCATCCAACAGCCGCATTAAATGCGGCCACATGCGGCTGCCAGCGTCAACCAGTTGAGATGACCCCTCGGCCAATAAGCGCTTGACACGTGTCCCTGCCCGACATTTATTGCTACTATAAATAGCACCCCATTTCCTCATTTGTAACCACGCTGAAAACGGCATTCATATTGAATACACTCTCTCTCTACTTTTACTTGCTTGCTCTGACTTCTCTCTAAGTTATTCCCCGAAATAACCCTTCGGATATATACCCCCGGGTAGACTATCCATCATTTGGTGCTCTCGTTGAGAGGTTGAACAATCGAGTAAGAAACCCTCCCCCTCGACCAAACACAAAACACTAGCCCTCTATCAAAATGGTGAGGACAACACGTGCCAACTCAAAGAACGTAGAAGACAAGAACCTGGCCCTCGACGACGTCAACGCCCCCGAAGCCTCTCACAGGGCTCCCGAGGGCGGTGTTATCGCTGGGCTGGAACAGGCGGCTGTCGACCTACGCCTTCAGATCCAACAAAATGCCCCCGATGCCCGCCTCGGCATCGAGGCCAAGAAGAAAAACCGGAGCGATGACCAAGTCACCCCTCCGGTTCTCACCATCGACGTGCAATCGGCGCTCTCCGCCTTCATCCAGACGCTCACCCAGAACCCGGGCGCCTTCGGCACCCTGGCTCCAGCTCACCCTCAGATCGGGGAAAATATCATACTTCCCCCTCTGCCACACCCCTTCGGAAATCCCACCCCTCGGGTGAGAAACGACGAAGGGGTGGTGGCCCAAGATACGTCCTCCCAGGAAGTTCAATCCCGGGACCGCCATAATGACAACAGGGAAAGGCCCCGTACTTCCGCCCTCAACCGGCTCGGAGGAGGGCCAGACCACCGAGGGGTCCAAGACCGTCTCGAGGGGAAAGCACTCCAAAGGCCCCAGGAAAGCGGGGGATCCGTTTCGAGGGCAGACGAAGAGCGTCCCCCTCGGGACAAAGGCAAGGCACCCCTTCATGCCGATGATGCTCGGCACCAAATCAACCAGGCCCACTCGGCCCGGGTTCGTTCGCAGGGGGCGGAGACCCTCCCGAAGGACCCCCGGGACGAGATTATTGCGGCCCTCCAATGCCGGCTTGACGAGATGGAGTCCAACAAAGCTCACGCCACCAGCTCCACCCCTCATTCAGATCTCAAATACGAGGCCATGATGGCCAAAATGGAGGAGTTACAGAAGAAGGTGGCCGAGGGCTCCGGGGAACCCGTCATCCAGCTCCGGACTCGGACGCCATTCACTCCAAGGGTATTGGCGGCCCGGATCCCGGAAAAATACCGAGGACAACATATACAGCCCTACAACGGAAAAACGGACCCCCGGGAACATTACAGCAAGTACCAGAACAACATGATGATGGTGGGGGCGTCGGACGAATATTTGTGTCGTTGGTTCCTCTCCACCTTAGAGGGGCCGGCATACGAATGGTTCAACAGGCTGCCCGAGGGCTGTATTGATTCATGGCAAGAACTCGCCCAGTGGTTCTTGACACAGTTTGCCGGGAGGCGTCGCACAAGGAAGCACTTCTCCCACCTCCTAACAATACGCCAGAAGAGGGATGAGACCCTTCGGGACTTCCTGGAGCGCTGGAGGACGGAGGCCGACAAGGTCGACGGTGCTGATGACGGGACCCTCCGGGCCCTCCTACAAACCGTCCTCCGCACCGGTAACTTTTCAAGGAGCCTCATCATTGAACCCCCCCGCGACTACATAAGGGCTTTGCAGCGGGGGGGACCGATATGCTGAGGCCGAGGAGGTGGAGAAGTATCACCAGCATCCGGACCAGCAGCCCCCGAGGGCTGACAACAAGCATAACCTAGGGCCGGAGGCTCCTCCAAATCACCCCAAGGCTTCGGGACCCTCTGATGACCGCCCTCGGCAAGGCCAAGCCAAGCCCGGGGGAGGTTATAAGAGCAACCCTAAGACTTGGGCCCAGCCCATTCTCCTGGACCACCCTCGGACACCATTGACGCACCCCGTCAGCATCATCCTCGATTTTGCCGAGGAGAGGGGCCTCGTTGAGCGCGACTCTCGCGCACCCCCGGAGGTACACGCTATCAACCCTCAGTTCCCCTATTGTCGCTTCCATCGGCACCAGGGGCACAGGACCGATGACTGCCATCAGCTGAAGACGGCCATCGAGAGATTAATACAGGCGGGGCACCTGTCCCAATTTGTCCAGAGCCCTCGGCAGGAGGGGCCTTCTCATCAGGGACCTCCCCGAGGGCACCGTACGAAGGTAAATGCCTGAGTAAATCCGAACACCATCCCCCTCAGCAAGAAGAGGGAGATCGGAAACTTGGAAGAAGAGGAGGAGGAGTACCCCCACTACCAGGAGAAGAAACGCCACATCCTCATGATCACCGGTGGCAATACAGGGGGCGATTCCACCAGCCAGCGAAAGAAGTGGGCTCAATCGCTTTACGTAGGGGAAGTCACTCATATGCCCCCGGTAAAGAGACTGAGGGAGGAACCCATCACCTTCACCAACGCAGATCTCCCTCCTACTTCTTCTCCTCACAGGGATGCCTTGGTGATTCGGACGGAGATAAACGACACCATTATCCACCGAACTTACATTGACACAGGCAGCTCCGTCAATGTAATGTACCTCAGCACCTTCAGAGAGCTGCGTCTGGAGAGGGGGTCCTTTCGGCCCATTAAGACCCCTCTTGCCGGCTTCACCGGTGACACTATTGATTCCGAGGGGGTAATAACTCTCCCGGTGATCTTCGGAGACGGACTCCATAGAGCCCAGCTCGAGGTGGAGTTCGTCGTCGTCAACATTGACTGCGCCCACAACATCATCCTCGGCCGGCCAGCCCTCGAGGACCTCGAAGCCATCATCTCCATGAGGCATCTCTGCCTCAAGTTTCCCGCCGAGGGGGGAATTGGCTACTCCCGGGGGAACCAGAAAATTGCCCGCGCCTGCTATCTTCAGGTCACTAAGAAGGTAAGCAAGATGGAATTCCGTGTTGACACCATCACCGGAACCATCGACCAAGAGGAAAGAAGGCCGAGGGCTGAACCGGCCGAGGACGTAGAAGACTTTGCGCTCGATCCGGCCCAGCCGGAGAGAGTCGTGAAGATTGGAGCCCAGCTCCCTGAAGATTCGAAGACCGGTATCACCGATGCCCTCCGCGCCTACTGCACTGTCTTTGCATGGGGGCCGGAGGACATGCCGGGAATCAGCCGGAGGGTCATCACCCACCGCCTCTCGGTGGACCCTTCGGCAAAGGCAGTGCAGCAACGAAGAAGACCCCTCTCCGCCGAGAGGAGGGAATTTGTGAAGAAGGAGGTCGCCATGCTCCTCTCTATTAAGCACATCAAGGAGGTGAAATATCCCTCATGGCTAGCGAATGTGGTCCTCGCACAGAAGCCCCCTACCTTCCGCATGTGCGTGGACTACACCGATCTCAACAAGGCGTGCCCCATGGACCCGTTCCCTCTACCAAATATTGATCAACTAGTGGATGAGACCGTAGGGTGTGAGATCATGTCCTTCCTCGATGCCTTCCGAGGGTATCACCAAATTTTTATGCACGAGGAAGACGCCGAAAAAACTGCCTTCATGACTCCCGAGGGCATCTTCTGCTACCTAGTCATGGCCTTCGGCCTAAAGAACTCGGGGGCCACTTACACCCGGATGGTGGCCCGGGTCTTTCAAGCCGTCCTAGGGCGCACCATGGAGGCCTATGTTGACGACATGATCGTCAAGAGCAAACAATCTTCCAGCCATGCTGACGACCTCCGGGAAATCTTCGCCATCATGCAAAAATTCAACCTTCGGCTAAACCCGAAGAAGTGCACCTTCGGCGTCCAAGGGGGCAAGTTCTTGGGTTACATGGTGAGCCGAAGGGGTATTGAGGCCAATCCCGAGAAAATCCAGGCCATCATCAACATGGAGCCCCCACGCAATGTGAAGGAAGTTCAACGGTTGACGAGCCGCCTGGCAGCCCTCAACCGCTTTCTATCTAAATCGGC